TTTTAATGTGTTTATCCGCGTTTCTTATCTACTTATATAATAAGATATTATATATTATTTTTTGTGAAAAGATAAGATATTATATATTGTAAACTAGATTACAAAAACTAGTTAAAACACCAATATTATATATATTTACACGCAATATATATAATGCATATTGATCAATACAACTTCAAAACACAGAACAAAATAACACCAATACATCGATCGTACTGTCGAAAAAAAAAAAAAAAACATCGATCGTACTATTATCTCCAATGGCGTCGCTTCAATGTTCATCTTATCTTCTGAGCACAAACCCTAAAAAACACAATTCCATTTCCATCTTCCAAACCTACTCTCCAACCTCATTCACCAAATTCTCCTCTCGTGTCTCTCGCCAGGTTTTTTTAATTTTTAGTGTGTTTGTGTCTCATTTTACGCAATGAAACATAATTTATTAACTGGATAACTTCTGTGTGAAGCAGAGGTTTCTACTATGTTCGATGTCCATGAACGGATGTGAGACTGACCATAAAGCGCCACTTGGCACGGTGGAAACAAGGACTCTATCGACGGTTACATCTCCGGCGGCTGCGACGGAGAGGCTGATAACCGCCGTCTCTGATCTTAAATCCCAACCGCCTCCGTTCTCCTCCGGCATTGTCCGGTTACAGGTACGTACGTAATAATATTTCTTCATTTTGTGCAATCCGAAATTCATAAGATGCATCAATGAGGTTACGCCACGTGGAGATCTTGCATTGGTACGTGTGAAATTGTTCGATTTCTTCCTGCCAATTGCATAATCATTGAAGATCTGAAAAACATTATTAATTGGATGTTAACCTACTACCCATACAGAAAGGGCCCGGTTTCAATCCTAGTTTGGTTATGATTTCAATTTATTTTTCTTTCCCCTACAATGTTTAGTCGAAAACAATGTTAAAAAAAATATTAGGCGCTAAGCCGACAGTGTCCCAACGCCTAGTGCCTAGAACGCCTAATCGGAACCTAAGCGATTTAATAGGCGGTCTAAACGTTTTACTAAAATACATAATATATTAAATATCTATAATAAAAATATTAAAAAAAACATAATTTATGAATAAAAAAATATTATAGTATTTATATTCATTATTTTATAGCAAAATATATAAAATTTTATGATTTATATATAAGAAAATTTATATTATTTTATTATTATAATACTATAATATTTTAGCGACATAAGCAGTAATCTCCACGGTCTATGGGAGCCTAAGCGTCGCCTAGACGAATGCCTAAAACGTTATTTAGAACACTGAGACGAAAATAAATCAATGTTTCATACGTGTTAAATTTGTAAAGAATGAAAAGTCAATATCTCCCGCGGAAAAATCAAAACAAAAATCTTATGATTTGCAGGTGCCAATAGACCAGAAAATCGGAACGATCGATTGGCTTCATGCTCAAAACGATGTTCTTGCTCGCATTTTCTTCTCACGTCGCAGTGAGACTAGTCGTCAAGATCTTCTTCAAGACTTTGCGAGTGAAAACAATGGATCATCTCATGATCGTAATCCTCTCAGTGTTGCTGGAATCGGTTCTGCTGTATTTTTCCGTGATCTCGATCCCTTCTCTCATGATGACTGGAGATCAATCAGAAGGTAAAAAACAAAATTCAGGATCTTGATAATGAAATTTTGTTTCTTGGATTGATTTCCCCTGTTTTTGAAGCTAGGTTTCTATCTTCAAAGTCTCCTCTGATTCGCGCTTATGGCGGACTTCGATTTGATCTTAAAGGAAAGATCGCTGTGGAATGGGAACATTTTGGCTCGTTTTACTTTACAGTGCCTCAGGTATGATAATCTTGAAACCATGGAAAGATCTAATCATTAATAGTTTTGGTTGATTGATACACACGTATTATTATTATTATAGGTCGAGTTCGATGAGTTTGAGGGAAACTCAATGCTGGCTGCAACTGTTGCTTGGGACGATGAGCTTTCATGGACTTTGGAAAATGCTATTGAAGCACTTCAGGAGACTATGCTTCAGGTTTGAAATGTTCTCTTTACTTATTAATAACTACTT